TTTTGTGGGGGGGGGGGGGAGGAGATGTCTCTCTTGAGACTGTCAAACAGCCTCGAGTCGTAGCAAGAGGGATGAGTCGGCTGATACAAGGACAAATTTGGCCCAAGTCATCCCTCGTTTTACTAGCGTCAACTAGGTCGGGTTTCAGTTCGATTCCCACCGAATCTGTTATCGAGCCCATACTTTTTGGCGCGCCGTTGTGTGAGAGTGTTAGAAGGCTTCCGGATACTTTTTGTTTCTTCTTCGTTCCGGGTTTCTCTTCGGCTTCTTTTATATGTCCTGTGGTTATCATTTCAGGTCTGGTCCCCATTGCGACCCTTGCTGGTCGACAGTGATGATGAACTGTACAGTTCTCATCTGAAGTACACTTTTAGTAAAGTTGCTCCGGACATTCGGCGACTTCGGAGATCTCAGCTGGCCAAGGCGCTTTCCTCTGACTCGGATAGTCACACTCAAACTGGACTGCAGCAACAGCAGAATGGTGGAAGTCGAGATTCCACGCCGACGAATGATGCCACTTCCAGTCTTCCACATGATACGGTTCCTTCTACTTTATCCGATGGTCCAACCGGTGTGCGTGCGGACGGCTCACCTCCAGTTTCCACTCTCTGTTCGGAGGTAACCTCATCATCGAGCAGTGCAACACTCAGCAATGCGTGCAAAAGACTTCGACGATCCTCATCTCCTGATGACGATGCCAGAGAGAATGTCCCTGTAGAAGAAATGTCTCCACAGAGTGGTGATGGTGAAGTTCCATCCGTAGAAACCCGTCCGTCTGTTCGGCGTCAACGTAAAAAGACTCGAAAGCGGCACTCCAGTGAAACCAGCACTGACGCTCGACTACCCGAAAAACGGCTTCAATGTACCAAAACCGAACGCACGGACAAAGAAGGCTCCGGTGGCAACCCAACAGCAGAACCTGACCAGGTTCAGCCGGTGCTTCCACAATTTCTTCTACCCTTCAATCGCAATGACTTGGAATTGGTAATGCCTAAGCTTTAGACATAATTTTCTACTGAGATTTAAATGTGTGTTTATCGCTTTTCAACTGATTTCGGTCCGTTTCTTTAATCCACTCGAGTAGTATGATAGAAGTTTGTCTCTTCAGTCACCAAGTCGAACTAAAGTCATGGTGATCATGGATCAAAGCTGGTCCTAACATTGCACGGGAGATCCGCTAATTTAATGGACCAGTCGAACGTCCGTTTTGGTCGTTACACTGTCGCGTACGTTCTTCGTCAAATGACTTAGTCAATAGAGTGAAACTCATCGGAGATCAGATGCTCCTCCAACTACCTTGTGACCCTCGATTTACCCGGGTTTTAACCAGATTTTCGTGCACTGTTTTTGTTGGTGAACCTTTCTTCGATGACCCATTTACTCAGGATACCCAGCTTCATCAAGTTCCACCGGTTACTCTGTTAGGCGGAATTCCACACGGATCCCTCTTTACCGCTCGCAGTCAGGTGCTGCTACGGCCACTCCACGCAGGAGTGGCCGAAAATTCGGGAAGCTTGCCGGTCCGGCATCAAGCCGAGATCTGATTGGTCCTAAGTTTGAACCCAAACAGCCAATCATGACGCAGTATTGGACGGTTGCCAATAGCGCATCCAGAACGAGTTAGAATTTCCAGAAAACTGTTGCCGCTTACGTCATATATATAGAGCGCTGTACAGGTGTTCCTGACTTCGTTTTGAGCGTTATGTATCACGTGAGGCTCAGACGAGAACTAAGCTGAGAAAAAATACGATACTACACTCCCTTTCATCGATTCGGCACGGTGTCATGCCTTGGCGTTGTCTTTGTCCGCGGATACATGCCACTCGGAGTAACTGAACATCAGTCAATGGCCAGCCAGCAACGGACCCGAAAAAATCGCACCCTGATTGGCTCGAAGTTAGGCCAATGAGAATCAAGCACTCGGTTTTGCGGGCTCAAATCATTGTGATATTGTTTTGTCCCACTAGAGTCATTCCAAGCTCCCGTTCATTTGGGTTTACTTTCAGTGGGCGGAATAGAAAGTCAAGGATTAGTATGAGAGCCGCGCGATCACAATATATCTATTGTGTCGCTCTTTAAACACTGGAACACACTTGGTCATTTGGCGTGACTCATCTATCGCAGCGTCCGTTCTGCCTCGTCCTAGCAACACACTCCAAACAATGTTCTCCCTTGGTTGCATAACCTTCCTATCTATATCATCTTTTATCCCGTCTGAATGCCGAGTTGACTGGTTCAGTCAGCTTACCCTGTTTCCAACAATTGCGTGATAAAAACTGTCGTATATCCATTTTGTTTCCAGCGAGTTGCACAGAATTGGATCAACCGTACTTCCGAACGTACTCAGTTGGACGGTTTAGAAGAGGCAGACTCTCAGGTATGTACTCAGTTTGCCACACATTTCCATCTTCTTGAATCCCATTGCATCCTACCTGTTTGTTGAAGGATCTCCGTCAAGTACTTCACCAATGGTCATGGACACAAAAAACCTATGATCAACCTTCCATGGGAAATGCTGCACCCTGCTTAGTTACGCGACCCATACACACGCCTACAGAGGCGACATACCGGCGTAGCACGAGGGCTGGGATACTGCCAGTTTGCCCAAGCCTGGACACAGGACGTCGAGAGGCAGAGGTCAGGTTCGAACCACGGACCTTCCGGTTAGTAAATTCGCGATCTAACCACTTGGGCCATCTCGCCCCAACTAACGCATCACATTGAGGCCCAAACCTGGTAGATGAAGCCACGAGTAAAGGCACATCTACTTTGGTGGCTGCAGGTCCCCTATGCGAAGTATGTCTGTCGGACGATACTCCATGTTATCTACAAGTGGAAAAAACATGCGAAGTGTCTGCTTTCCACTGCTTGGGAATTCTTTCTTATTGACCTAGAACACACAGGTGACAAATCGTTCAGCTGGTAGCACCCTCTCGGCGCCTAACTGCCATACCACCCGAAGGTTCCACGAGAGCTGGGATACCGCCCAAGCCTAGGCAGAGGAAGTCGAGATGCAGTGGTCGGGTTCAAACCATGGACCTTTCGGTCAGCAAATCCGCGCTCTTAACCACTTCAGCTATCTCCCCCCCCCCAATTTGGTTTTGTCAGGGGACTCAACTGAAGCCAGTTTATGATGCTCCGAACGTGGGCTGTCGACTAGTTTTCAGCAACCTTGTCAGTTTCGTTACGTCTAATGCTATTTCCTTTGGATAGCTTTCCATTGCGGATGTTTCTCGTTTTTTCTTTTTCCTCACCTCTGTCGGTTTCCCAACATTTATCCAGGTGTAGTGTAAACCAGTGGATGTGCTTTTTCCCATCCGCGAACCTCCGTGACTGAATTTCAGACTGATAGCAATGCAGATATGACGATACTAAAGATCATGGGCGTTTGCCCTAGAAGTAGGGTTTTGGTTGCCTAACAGATTCGTTTCATTCCTGTGTACTTTGCTGAATTACAACTTTCAAGTGTCAGTCTGTTCAACTGCTGTCTGTAACTCCGACCTCCGCCGCCGTATGAGCTGTTTTGCGGAGCGCAGGTCTCCTGACCAATCACAACGACAGAAACGTACAATTCTCACCAGTCACGTGACTTTCATGAACGGATTCCGTAAATCCCGTGATTACCTGCAACGAATGAAAAACTGTCAATTAGGTCTGAAGACGCCCGTGATGCTATCTAACTGGGAAGTCTTGGCAATCGATTGGCAGAATCAGGGCAGCTACTGGGTCGTCGTTCGCCTGTTGAGAGATGATAGTTCAGGTGGGCCGTGTGTGCGCCGGTGGAGTAGTGGTAACACGCTCTCCTGGCATGCCAGATGTGCGGAGTTCAAACCCCGTCTCAGCCAACGATATGCACCACGGATGAACTCTGATGAGAGCGGAGCCCGAGTCGAGTGCTTCTCCCCTCCTTGGCGTGAGCTCACCAGAATAATTACACCAGGACAGGAAGACGATTGTTCAAACGCGAATGGTGTGAGCGTAAAATCCACCTTGAGGCGTACAACTTCGCCTAGCTAACGTCATGGCTTCATAGGGCCTTTCTTTCACCTGAAAAAAACACCGCCTGAACATTGAATGCATCTCACCGTCGATAATATTTCCATATTATTCCACTTGCCGATTTCGTACTCGTTCACGGGGGGCGAGATGACCCAAGTGGTTAGAGCGCGAATTCACTGACCGGAAGGTCCGTGGTTCGAACCCGACCTCTACCTTTCGAGTTCTCCTGTCTAGGCTTGGGCGACCTGGCAGTATTCCAGCCCTCTTGGAACCTTCAGGTGGCATGGCAGTTAGGCACCGAAAGGGCGCTACAGCTGGACAATTTCAATATGAATTTGAACTACGTGAGCTAAAATAAGCGATGTACCGTGGCTGTTATGTGCGTTTGCGAGTTCAAGAACGCTTTCTACAACCCAGGCTGCACACGCCACTACAGATATCGAATGCTGACGCATCCAGCCAAACAAGGTGAAATCGTTGGTGTTGAAGTGGATATGCCCCCAGGAAACCTCTGTTCCGTTACGCCAGTTGCTCCACTGCTGATGATGGATCGATAAAACAATTGTTGTTCCCAAAGTCGGTCAACTTGACAACCCACCAAGACTCCCTCCAAGGTCATGCACACCTATTTTGTGGAACGTTTTACTCCTTGCATTTCAACCTCTCCGGTGAGTGTCTCCATACATCGCGAGACACGTAGATTTTCCATGGATGAGTTGGTTTCTCTCCAACGCATATGCACTTTTGAAGGCTTTAGACATCAGAACGTGTCTAACTTGGGGTTTCTAGCAATGCCTTTGATTCAATCGATCAAAAACCCCAGCCGTGCAAAACAAAATCCAGGAAAGCTGACCAAGACTCGAGGGTGGCGCTGCTGAGGGAGCCGTTTTATCACCGTTTCTATTCAATTTTTACAAGATTTTGTCTAAGCTTGGGCAACCTGTCAGTATCCCATCCCTCATGCTTCCTTCTTGTGGCAGCTAGGCACCGAAAGGGTGCTACAGCTGAACGATTTCTTTCATCCAGCAGTTGACCTGTTGTGAATCTAACTTCCAGAGATACACTTTATGTTCAATACAAGGGGGAATTTCCCAACCCAGTCTCTTCAGCAATGGGGTTGGTTTGGCCGGGGTCAAGAGACTCTGAATGCACCATGTATGCCCTTTTCTATCAACCTATATTGCTTTTCCGTTCCACTCCGTTTTCAGCTTTTGTCGGCTATCGAATCCATGACTCAGTTGCATGCGCGGGCCGCGCATCGCCGAGCCAGTTCACGTCACAATGGGACTACGGGTGACGGTGGCTCGACGGACGATGATGCTGATGACGACGATGATTCGGGCATTCTCGGATCGTTCCTCTTCTTCCGTCGTCCCCGGCGAGCCGCAGAACAAAGCGAAGAGACGTTCGCCACGCGAGACCGTGAGGGTTCCGCGAATGGCACATCAAGCAATTCCTCCTGGGTCAGTACTCAAGAGACCAGCAATGAATCCAGAGTGACCCGTTCGTCATCCTCTTCTTCCAGTTCTACCGCAACATCTACTTCTTCCTCGTCCTCCTCCTCATCCTCCACGTCCTCTTCAGGTTCACCGAGCACTGCGGTTGGAGAAGATTCGTCTTCG